GACATCATCACACATTCAGCAGCCTCCCGAAAACCCCACTGTACACTTGTAAGAGTGTGACAGCAAGAAGGCAAATAATATCTTAGCATTATTTTGAATATAGTTTTCATGCTGTTGAACCCCTGAAAATGTTTCAGAGACCTGTGACATTGAGATGGCTGTCCAACATATCCCTGGAAATTTGGGGCTTAAATTAAGGGAAATGTTGGAGAATGGAGATATGTGTTTGTGGGCAAAGAATAATGACAGCAACAACAACAACAAAAAATGATAGTTGGAGGAAGATAGGGAAGAAGATGACAAAGAAGAGAACTCTGGAAAGGTTAACATTTAGGAAAGCAGAACAACGACAAAAAAAATGCTGAGGAAGAGCTAGAGGTTCACAGGATCAGTGCAGGCAAACAGAAAACGTGGTTAAAGGGGTGTGGGGCTAAAGGGAAGCTGGAGAGGGCAAGCACTGAGCTGGGCTACTCAGCTGGACCACCTTCTTATTGTGGTTTCTAATGCAATTGTAGTTTAGATTTCAGATTGTCTCTCTATCTTTGATAAGTAATGTGCTATAGGTTCACTATCGTGAGTCCAGGTGGGCCTTTATCATTATCTTGCTTGGGACTCCAATGATACCTGTTTTCCATTAATTATGGAAAACTCTAAGCAATTACATCTTCAAAAATGGCTTCTCTTTCAGTCCATCCAGTCTTGTCTTGCGGGACTCTGCATTAAGCACATATTGACGACTCTGTATACTGGCGGGCAAAATCCAATCTACGAGCCACCGAGTTGCAACCTCTGAGTCCAGGAATGATGAGTGAAGCATGGCACACTGTGATCTATATAAATAGCTTCCAGAGAGAACTTTGTACACAGAATTCAATGTGCAGCTTATGCAATACATCAGTCCAGATAGAAAGTGCATTTCGAAAACATATCCTGACCTTTAAAAAATGTAGTAATGAAGGTAATGTGGAAGATTTGAAGGGATATCTGGCTCAAAAAGGGGCACTTTTCTGTAAATGAAAATAGAAAGAGAGCCACTTGACCATAAGAAAGAGAATAGATGGAGGGATAAGCCTTGGCAAGGAGGAGGGATATTTCTTTCAAAACAAAAAGAGAACTAAAGTTGCATGATAATCCAAATATTTCAAGCAAAAGAGAAGAGAGAAATAAGAGAGCACCTCTGGGGTGGTGTTCGTTTTCCCTGTAAAACAGACGATGTGAAGTGATGAGAATGACAGGGGCGAGGGTGGGGGGGATGGTCATGAGAAGTGGAGATGGTCGGAACAGCCACTGTGGAGCCTGCAACACTGATTCAGCAGGCAAGGAAAGGCATTTCGAGCTACGGTGCTGGCTCGCTGAGATTCACCGTCATACATTGTCGTAAAACCCCAGCACAGCTTTGTGACTTGGGCCAACAGTTCTTGGCGAGTTAAGCTGTTAAACAAACTGCCTGAGCACATACTCTTCTTTGCAGAAAGAGTGCCAGGAGGAGAGGTTCGGAGAGCATCCCCTTCTATGGAAAGACTGGCAATGGGGGAGAGATACGGTTTAATACGTGTTTTGGTCACAAAATCCCATAAATCAAGTTGTCGCTGAATTCTTTCCTTTAGAGAGCAGTGAACCCTGTCCCAATCCATTAAGAACTAGATTAAGAAAAGCAATACTTCAGATGGTGATCAGCAGAGCATGACCCAATTAAACAAAGAGAACATCTCTACGGCAAACTTTTTGCTAATTCCTGTAAGTCAAAAAATAATATCTCCTGCTAAAAATCCACCTCCTCCATGGACACTTTCATTAATGTTATATATACAATGTTCTTATCCAAACTGAGACATGCTGGAGAATAAAAGAGGGTGCTATGAATAATTAAATAGAAACAATGAGCGCATACTGGGACTGATCCAGGCAAAGTAGAACCTGTGGTCTACCCTTATTACACGTGACCCACACAGCATTGCAAATGGCAGCTCAGAAATGCATGGAACACACACGGTTCTGTATGGTTGGTCATGAGGAAAATGGAAAACTCCCAGAAATCTGTGAGTGACCAGGACAGAAAGCGATCAGGGTATATTCCCTGAGTCCCATATTCGAATGCCCAAAGCCAGTTTAGACTACAGAAGGACTAAGGGGGTGATTCTTCTAACGGAGCCCCCATGACTCTCAGAAGACTCAAATCAGAGCAGGCTCTGTAGCTGGCTAGTATCACAACACTTTAAGTACTAAGTCTGGAAAAGATGGCTATTGGGATAATGAAAGGAGACCCATTTGACTCAGATAATAATTCACCAATAAAATCAAATCCAGAATAAAAGATCTTCAGAGTGGCCTGAGCTTCCTAGTAGCTTATCAGAACAGGGCATAAAAGGAGATAGTTCTTATGGGAAAAAAACAAACAATAATCTGTGAAAATTATTGAAGTATATATGAATAAGAACACTCTTTAGATATTTAACTTTGGTAAGAAGAAACAATAATGATTTATAAGCAACCTTGGCTTTTGGACAATGGTTCTCAAACTGTGGTTCCCAAACCAGCAGCATTACGTCACCTGGGAACTTGTTAGAAATGCAGATTATTAGGCCTCCCCAAACCTACTGAATTAGAAACTGTGGGGGTGGACCTCAGCAATCTTTAAGTCCTCTGGGTGTTTCTGAGACACAAAGTTTACATAAGCCGCTATCTTGCAGCTGGGACTAGAAAGAATAACCTTAGAGGTCCAGGTGAAGTGTTAGGTAAGCTTTTCTTTAGAGTCTCACTGCTAAAGAACAAAGTTCTTGCCAAATTGTGGGTCATGGACCAGTGGCATCAGCATCCCCTGGAAGCTTGTTAGAAATGCAGCATCTTGGCCTCAGGGTAACCCCACTGAATCAGAATCTGCATCTCCACGATCCCCAGGTGATTCGTCTGCACATTGAAGTCTGAGAGGCACTAAACTAGAGGCAGCTCATTCAACTAACTAGTGAGAGAAGGAAAATATTCTTGACCTCAGAAGCTTCATCTGAGATAAGTGCAAGGCCCCTTCCTCACCTCTTACTCAGGGGCTTAGGATGCACTTTGGGAAACACATGGCCGCTGGAGTAACTGCTGAAGCTGCAGGCCCTGCCCCTCCCACTGGTTACCTTTGGTGCCCCATGGGAAGGCCCCCACGTGTCACTGCTGACTTGGACCTAGCGAGCTGCACAGTCTGGAATATGCTTGAAGGTGTGACCAAGCGTACACCTCCCTGAACTGCCTATGTTTTAAAATGACGGGTAATGATGAAAACATAGACCAATGTGTAACCCACATAATCCCACAGGTCATATTGTAGAAATGTACAGATTTTTTTGTCCCCATACATCACTTCTCTCCTATCTTCTTAAATAGCAGATGAGATATTTCCCAAATTTGGAAGGTTCCAAGTTGTGAGAGAGAAAAGAAAATTAACATGGTCTGCTTCAAAAAAAAAACCCACCCGTTTTTTATTTCATCTTCATCACAAGTAAAAAATATTTTTATTTTTTCCAACCAACCTGATAACATGGATCCCTCATTAGTAGTCTCAGACAGATTAACACTCTCAGAAAATGAATAGATGGGGCTCGATTAACCCACTCTCTGAAAGAAGAAAACAAGAGAGAACATGTTTGTGCATGTTTAAAAGACCAGTGAACAACGCAAGGCTCTGGAGCGGAATAAGGAACATATAAGGGAATAGCATTAGTTTATTTCAAACTTAATCTGCAATGGGGACTGTTATTTGGGACTTGAACACTTGACCCATTTTAATGCAAAACACACATAAATCACATAAATCATCATTATCACTGTAAGTAGAGGTCCCTCAAATTATTTGGTTCACAGAGCCCTTACTGACGCCAGGGAGCCCCTGACTAAAAGAAATAACTAGAAGCTCCAATAATTAGGCTCGACTTATTAAGAATGTACACCTTAATAACTTAACATTCATTTGAAAAATAATACACACACATTAAAAGAAAAACATTTTATGTTATCCTTAAATAACCACATTTATGTATTAATGGGATATGTGCACCTGTGGACACTAAATGACTTCTCGAGCCTTGGAATCAGATCGGACACCAGCATCTTTGCGTCCTCTTCCATCTGCTTTTTATGGTAGCAAATGGAAACCTGGCTTCAGAAAGCTATGCCATCATCTAAAGAAGATAGCATAAGCCTAATGTGGAAATCATAAACTACCTTAAGTTGTTTGCACCATGTCGGATGGATGTTGTATATCACTGTTTTCCCTGAAAATTTAAAAGATCCCATGGCACCCCAGGGGTTCTCTGAAGCCCTAAGGCACTTCAGTGGGCAGTTTGGGTGTACATGCCTTAGGTGCTTCCCATGACTGCTTTCTGTGACTTTTAACACTGGAACCTCCCAGAGAATTAGAAGTATGCCCTATGATGTGACACCAGGGCAGTCACATGCAGTTGTTCTAACCGAAGCGTATATAGTGGTGCAGAAGCCACCAATACAGCACAGTGTGGACTCCTGAAGTAAGAAGGAAGGAAGACTGAGCACTGGCAAGCAGCAGAACTTGCTATTGTGTGCGCTGTCTGAATCATCGTGGAAGATGAGCTCTGCCAGGGGACGCTTGTCTCACAATGCCCTCTAAGCTAGCCCAACAGTGGCACTTGGTGCAAACGTTAACAGAAATCTAAAATAAACAGTGTCTGTTATTCTATACCTAGCCAAGAAAAACTGAGGAAGCCAGTGGAAGCTATTCCAGATTAGACTCCATATAATTTCTCCCACCCTCTCTCACCTCCACAGCAGAGCTGCTTGCGCATCCAGCAAGGTTAGAGTACTTTAAAGACCTGCCCCTCCATCCAGTAGAGCATTAACTTGAGCTGTGTATCTAAGCCAAGCCTCACTTGGCTTGTCCCAGGTTAATCTTTAGTGTCAGAATTCATCTTTGCCTCCTCTACAATCCTGAGAAATTCAACTCTGCCCCCAAACCTGCACATTTCAGACCTGAGTGCACAAGCCTCACCCTCCTCAAAGTCAGAACGAACATTTGTAGTTACTGCCATGGAGCTGTCACCCCTAACCCCATCCCACACTCTATCTCAAGCCACTCACCATTCCATCCATCTACTAAGATTTGGCTCATGAGAAGGAGGTTGGTAAATACGCTTTTCCCATAGCCTTATATTCCCAGGATGTTAGAGTGCTCCTTACAGATGAGAGCCCCTAGCAGAAGTCTGGTTCAGTGGGGAGAGGTTGAGTAAGGTGTCCCAAGGGCATCGCTGGCTGAGAATTATACTTCTTGCCATTACTAAAGCTCCTGACAGGAGCTGTCCACCACAGCTGCAGTCATCTTCACAGTCCTTCTCTGGTCCAGGCACATGACAGTAACATCTTTGCTATGGAGGCAAAACTCAGTTTCTTCTGAAAATAAGGGCACGACTTAACACACCCCAGGGCTACCAGCCAGGCAGAACTATCCAGGGCTGCACTGCGAAGCTGCACTGCAGCTCATCCTGAATTCCTTACATTGGGAAAAATAATGTCAATTTGAAAAAAAAAAAAAAAAAAAAAAAAAAAAAAAAAAAAAAAAAAAAAAAAACACTTTGAATTTTAAACGTATGGGAACACTTGTAAGGATATGGGTATCCTGAGGCTCCCATTACAGACAGAATAGTCTACCTTTAACCTTTATAAGTAGGGAGACGGCACAAAATGACTTTCTCTTTCAGGTGCGGGGTTAGCTGAAGGTAGCGCGTAGTGTGCAAGGATGCTACATCCCAGAGACCTAACAGAAATAATGATCAAGTCGCAGCAGCTGCTGGCAACCTAATGAGGATGAATGCTGATTGCTTTTCATTATTTAAAAGGAAAAGCCATGGGACATAGTAAGAGATTATTCATGTTACAAATATGTGTGCACTTGGTATTTTTCCTAACTATACATAATCTTCATGAGTGAAGTTCATGGCCTTTTCCAGTGTTTTTCATATTAAAACAAATATAAAAACTTTTTGTTTCCTCCTCTATTTTAGCCTATGATAAAAATTCCATGATAGGTTTCATTTTTTTTAACTATTAATGGAGTGTAATAAATGAAGAGTTCCAGAAAAGTTTCAGTGCTGAAAGTTCTGTTCCAAGCAACTGGCTTATTTTTTTTTTTTTTTTTTTTTTTGTAAAAACTGTTTTTAAGCTATTAATATTTCTCCACGATTCTGGCCTCTGCTGTTCTAAATGTAAATAGAATTCCTGGTGCCTGAGTCCTCTGGCTTCTCCCCCCTGAGCACTGACCTCTGAAGGAGCAGTCGTTCCCTCCTTGGCCCCCAGCCCGGAACCCCCCTACGAGAACGGGCACATGGCATGGAGCTCTAGAATGACGTGTTCCATAAGATGACATATCTCTCTGTTTGCCAAGAGCTGGAGGACTAGAAAACACACAACTTAGTGCAACCAGAGAATTACAGAGAGGAAAAGGGACAGATCGTAAAGACGGGTGCCTTTGCTTTACTGAGGTGGCAACTGTGGCTGCAGTGACTGGCCCCAGGCTGCACGGAAGTGCAGAGCTGGCGCCTGACTCCTGGGAC